ACTACACACCGCCGCTCCGCCCTCCGTTGTGTTAGCGGACTACACACGCCGTCGAGCTGCCAGCCCTCCGGTGTCGAGCCACGGGACTCACACCGTCGATCTGCCTACTCTCTGGTGTCGGACCACGGGCTCCACACCTTCACACACCTTCAAAATAAAACCTGTTTATATCAACTTCTGTCTCCTGTGGTCTTGCGATTGGGTCCTAACCCGTGAACTCCCGTGACAATAAATACATCATAAATACAGGGAGGGAGAGAAGAGAAGAGGGAGAGACCTTAGAGAAAGCAACAGAGGAGGATCCTCTATCAGGATGAAGTGTGATGATGTCATGTGTACAGAATGAACACAACAGAGTTACAACACATAAATATATCATGAAACAAAGAGATGTAAACATCTCATGTGAATGTTTGTATATTTAGTATTTTACTATTAAAGTAGGAAGATAAATAATATGATTACATAATGATCTACTATAAAATTTCATCGTCAAACATCTAAAATCAGATCAAGAGAAGAAAGAGAAAAATACATATTTCATAAATCACAAGTTGGGTTTCATACGTCAGTAACGAATAAGAGAAAAGATCAAGTTATTATTTTATGTATTCTAAATGAAGAGGAACTTCATTCATATGTCCAAACCTGATGCCTACAATACCCACAATGCAACAGGACAGACTTGGCTTTTCTCAGACTCTAGTCCTGCCTTCAACACCCAGGGTTCACATTCCAGTTCCTCCTCCTCTTCCTCCTCCTCCTCCTCCCCCTGGGAGGTTTAAAGAAACACTAGGAGAGGAAACCAGAAGAACAGAGTCGACCTGCAGCTTCTCACAGTGAGTCTGAATGAAGCACTTCTGTCTGGGACCTCTTAGTGATTGTTACTGGGATTACTGGGACCACTAGAACCACTGGGACTACTGGGACCACTAGAACCACTAGGACTACTGGAACCACTAGGACTACTGGGACCACTGGGACCACTGGGCTGTGAAAGGAGAATTTGAGCAGACTGAAGTGAGAGGAGCTGATTTGTTGACAGCTGTGCTTTGATTCATGAGTGAATGCAGCTGTTGATGTTTGCTGATACTTCAGTACACAGAGTACACTACCTTAATTACAGCTTCCAGGTATATCGATCACTTCCTCTTTACATTTTCAGAGTAATAATAATAATTATATGTACTTTTCTTTTTTAAAGGCAAAACATTCAACAATTTGATATTTTTTGTGCTCTTTTGTTTTGACATGTAACAAAATGTCATTCGTTTGGTTTTAATTCAGAGTCTCTGATATGTTTATTTACTTTATTTAACATCTTTAAAACGTTTCCTCTAAATGAGGCTCTGGTTTGTAAATCAGCTTCACCACATGATGATGATGATGATGATGATGATGATGATGATGATGATTCATTCTTCATCCCACAGAGATACTCACTCAGATTACTGGAATTCTTTTGGTGAACTGTAGAAGCAGAATCCTGCAGTACCTCTAACGGCCACCAGGCTCTGCTCTACAACACTTTATTTAACGTATAAAAACACATAAATATGGTCATTAGATGCAAAATAATTATTAGATCCTGTTTGAGTTGTGCCATGAATTAAACACACAGTGTTTGTTCATTTGAAAGATAATTTTGCACGTTTTGTCATAAATAAAGTACAGTAGACTGTGAAAATATGTAATAATAAAGACGACACCTAAAAGCGTCTGAAGCTACAATGTGTTTGGTACCAGGATGTTCTCTCAACAACATAGTTCTCTCTCTTCACTGATAGAAAGAGTCGCTGATAAAACACATCAGTTATTTGGTAGCATAGCTAAGTTAGCTAGCTTGTAAGACAAGCGAACAGCCATGTTGGATACCCGAAAGAGGCGGGGCTTCACATCACTACATATAGAAGTGGACAAAGTCATTATGACGCCACCCGTTGGTTTGTGGACTACAGTTTTAAAGCCTTTAAGTTTGGCCTTTCGGCCGTCGCCATCTTGTTTTTTGTAACCAGAAGTGACACTAGTGGGAGGAGCTACAGACAATCGAATGATGGACATTTTTAGGAGCAAAATTAGTGGTAACTTGTTGTTCAAAGAAGTAATAAGTAACATTCATGAAGTGAACCCCCCCACTGTGAAAGAGTTAAAGCTGTAACGGACAACTCCCAGACCAGACAACGCCGTGGTGGAGACCTGTCAATCACCGTGTAGCCCCGCCCTAAAGCATCCCCTGCTTTATGGTCTGTTTGACTCTAAATGGACCATAATGTACTAAATGAACATCATGCTGTATTGAAGAAGACTTGAAACTAGAGATTGAGACCATAAACTCATGTTTACAATGTTTACTGAGGTAATAAATCAAGAGAGAAGTAGAGTCATTTTCTCATAGACTTCTATATATAGGCACAATAAAAAGGCGTTTTTATCCTGTAGTTGGTCTTTGAAACAGACTCGGAGGTCTTTGTTGATGGAATAGTTCTTCAGTTAGCTGTTGTTTTTGTGTAAAGTTGAAAGATTTGTAATTGTGTCGGACGTTTTGGTTTTTGAGTTGGAAGCTTGTTTGGTTTTTGAAAGAAAAGCACTGAGAATCTGTTGACATTCTTCTGCTGATAAGAAATCTCTTCCTTCCTGTTGATTCTTGCCTCTTTCTTCTTCTCTTTCTATTTCTGTGTCCCTCTTGTTTCCGTCTCAAGACACTTTAGTCTTAATCCAGAAATAATTATTATCGCTCATCAAAAATGATCAATATTAAGTTAGATATGATTAATTTATTAGATACAATTAGAAATAATACAACTAGAATCTAGACCAGCCGAGAAGACGATCAAACTTGACTATCTAGAGGAAGTAAAAGTCGTAACAAGGTTTCCGTAGGTGAACCTGCGGAAGGATCATTAAAATGCTGATGCTTAAAACAGAAAAAAAAAAAGAAAGAAAACGACACAATTTTATCAGTTGCAAAAAAAAAAAAAAAAAAAAAGGCGTAGTCCTTTCTGTTTCAGGGGGAAGATGAATTGTTCTTGTGTGTAAACAAAGTAAAAGCCTGATGTTTTTATCTGTTGGATGGATTCTAAATAAATGTGGTTCATCATTCAGGATGATCTGTAATAACTTTATTGATCCTCTGACTTTTCATCGTAGCTCCATCATCAGGTCAACATGTCAATGTGTCCAACACTTTTTAGCTAATGTTAGCATGCTAATAAGCTAAGCTAAGGTGGTGAGCATTATATCTGTCAAATATCAGCATGTTAGCATGTTAGCATGCCAACCCAAAACGATGGACGGGTCAGACAAACAGAACTTTCACCCAGGAGACAGATGTTCATGTCTCCGGTTAAACCAAAAGTCAACGTTGACTTAGTTTACGTTTTGTTACGTAACAAGCTAACTTATTTAAAACACAAACAAAAACACAAACTTGTTTTGTTACATTTGACATCGTTACATTTTACTTTCATAACACATTTTCGCACGTTTATATATTTTTTCCAACTGTTTGTTTTGTTCTGAGTTCATGTTGTGTACCTTCATGTGTATTTATATCGACTCAGAGGCTCTAAAGACAGCAAACTTTAGACCAGATCCTTCACTTTTTACCTTTCACAATAAAAGCCCCTCTGTATATATAATATTTGCAGTTCTTTGTCTTGTTTTTTCCTCCCCTCCCCGTTGATTAAAGTTCTTTAGAATGGTAGTGATGACCACCGATAAGTCCTCCGATTACATTTAAACTGGGTGAGACGGGTGTGACGTACAACAAAGGCTGGAATTAAACCGGTGTCGTTGCGGTTTTGTGGCGTGCAAACAGAGACAAACATTATGAAAAAAGATTATTTGATTGGGATATCAAGGGAGTTGTAGTCCTGTGCAACAACGGACTACACGTTAAAGACACGGAGTCTGTAGAGACACGTCGAATAAATACAAACAAAATACGTTTTTTTACCGTTTTCCTAAATTACGACTTTGTTTTTCTTCTTTATTTTGAACTGCTGGATCAAAACCCAGCCGAGTATTTCTCTGCTATAGAAACAGGAAACAGTGGCGAGGTGTTCATGATCAGAGACGCTGTGTTTTGTATCGTACAGGTTTGGTTCTGGTCCTCCAGTCTCTCCGTGTGGTGAACGTTAAATCATGGGGGCCAAAGACCTCAGCATGACCTCTGACCCCGAGGGGTCCCGACCTCCTGCCCGACGCCGGAGTCCCTTCAACAGCGTCAAGGTTCGTCTGCTCTCGTTGGCTTTTAAATGGAAAAATGTTGCATTCTGTTTATTAAAAAGCAAGATATTTAACAGAAATAATACAAAGATTATTTTTTGTGTGAAAGCAAAGTGAACAATAAATTACAACAATTTTTGTTTTGTAATTTCAACAATTTTAAGTTGTTTTTTTTTCCTGATTCAACACAGAAGTTAAAAGTCTCTTTAAAGTCTGTTGGTGTGAGATTCTCCTTCATCACTGATGTTGAATCAGAAATGTCTCCTCTACGATGTTATGAGTGTTGATGGAGCTGCTACAATGTTAGCTTAGCATAGCACCGATCAGGCCGAGCTCCATTCAGAAAACAAATATTTTAAAAGTTATTTGCTTGTCGTCTTGTGGAGAGAACTAACAAAACATGAATTCAAACTTTTTACAAATCAGCATCATTATGTAGTTATTTCGGCATCTTTTTTATTTGTTTATTGTAATTAAATCACAGCTAAACTGATTATTTTGGGTTCATACAGCTGGAGTGTGAGGCGTTTAGTTTCCACAACATGAACTAAGCAGCAATCTGACCGTTTGTATTTGATTCAGCAGATTTTGTGTTTAACTTCAGGACTTGTTGTTTTGCTTTGAGGAGAAAGTTGACTTCCTGAAGTTCATCCTGGTTTTGTACTCTGAGGTCACAAAGGTCAACGTTTCCTCTACGAACCAAACCGATGAGCTCATCGTGTCGTTGGTCTCTCATCACGTCTTCTTAGTGCTTTTTATTTATTATCAGGATCATAGATTAATGAAAATTAAAACTTATTTGATAAATGAAGTGTGTTCTTCTCTCTCCTCCTCCTTTCCTCCTCTCCCCTTCCTCTCCTCCTCTCCCCTTCCCCCTCCTCCTCTCCTCTCCTCCTCCAGTTCTTTGTGTTTTGTCACAGTCTTCTTCAGCTGGCTCAGCTCCTGGTGTCTGGTTACATGAAGAGCTCCATCTCCACCATCGAGAGACGTTACGGTCTCTCCAGCCAGAAGTCTGGTCTGCTGGCTGCTTTCAACGAGGTCAGAACCACAACGTCCTCTCATGTCGTCACATGTCCTCTCATCTCCTCACATGTCCTCATCTCCTCTCATGTCCTCTCATCTCCTCTCATGTCCTCACATGTCCTCATCTCCTCTCATGTCCTCTCATGTCCTCTCATGTCCTCTCGTCCTCTCATCTCCTCACATGTCCTCATCTCCTCTCATGTCCTCACATGTCCTCATCTCCTCTCATGTCCTCTCATCTCCTCACATGTCCTCATCTCCTCTCATGTCCTCATGTCTTCTCATGTCCTCTCGTCCTCTCATGTCCTCACATGTCCTCATCTCCTCTCATCTCCTCTCATGTCCTCATCTCCTCTCATGTCCTCTCATCTCCTCACATGTCCTCATCTCCTCTCATGTCCTCACGTGTCCTCTCATCCTCTCATGTCCTCTCATCCTCACGTGTCCTCTCATCTCCTCTCATGTCCTCACGTGTCCTCTCATCTCCCATGTCCTCACGTGTCCTCTCATCCTCTCATGTCCTCGCGTGTCCTCTCTTGTCCTCTCATGTCCTCACATGTCCTCTCATCTCCTCTCATCTCCTCACATGTCCTCATGTCCTCTCATGTCCTCTCATCTCCTCTCATGTCCTCACTTGTCCTCTCATGTCCTCTCATCTCCTCACATGTCCTCATCTCCTCTCATGTCCTCATCTCCTCTCATGTCCTCTCATGTCCTCTCATCTCCTCACATGTCCTCATCTCCTCTCATCTCCTCTCATGTCCTCACGTGTCCTCTCATATCCTCTCATGTCCTCACGTGTCCTCTCATCCTCTCATGTCCTCACGTGTCCTCTCATCCTCTCATGTCCTCACGTGTCCTCTCGTGTCCTCTCATGTCCTCTCATGTCCTCACATGTCCTCTCATCTCCTCTCATGTGCTCACGTGTCCTCTCATCCTCTCGTGTCCTCACATGTCCTCACGTGTCCTCTCATGTCCTCACATGTCCTCTCATCTCCTCTCATGTCCTCTCGTGTCCTCTCATGTCCTCTCGTGTCCTCACGTGTCCTCTCATGTCCTCTCGTGTCCTCACATGTCCTCTTGTGTCCTCTCGTGTCCTCTCATCCTCTTGTGTCCTCTCATGTCCTCTCATGTCCTCACGTGTCCTCTCATCCTCTTGTGTCCTCTCATGTCCTCTCATGTCCTCACGTGTCCTCTCATCCTCTTGTGTCCTCTCATGTCCTCACGTGTCCTCTCATTCTCTTGTGTCCTCTCATGTCCTCTCATCCTCTCATGTCCTCACGTGTGTGTGTGTGTGTGTGTGTGTCCAGGTAGGGAACACGGTCCTCATTGTGTTCGTGAGTTTCTTGGGGAGTCGTGTTCACCGGCCTCGGTTTATTGGAGGCGGAGCTCTGCTGGCCGGCCTCGCCTCGCTGCTAATGGCGCTGCCACACTTTGTGGGCGGAGCCTACGACTTCACCGACCGCATCAGCTGTGAGACCACACACACACACACACACACACACAGTTTCATGGTCCCCATAACTGAATCCTGCAGATTCATTGACCGCCTCAGATTTTTTATTCTTTATTCGAATAAATTAAAGACTGAATCTGGTTCACACTAATGAACCATTTCATTCAAAATAATAATAATAATAATTGTAATTATAATAACTATAATTATTATTATTATTATTATACACTTTACAAAGGGGATTGGAAATTTAAATATTAAAATAATAAAATGAGAAATATTTAAAAACATTAATCACAGAAATAAACAATTAAGCAGTGATGAGAGACGAGTACGAGTATAAATGCATTAAAGAGAGATATGCAAATATATATATTATGAGTTCTGGACTCATAATATATATATTACATGTTGGTGTAATTAGTGTTTATTAGATTATGTTTTCATATTTTTAAAAGTCGTATCAACTGATTGCAAAAACGTAAACACACAAGAGCAAAAGGAAACATTTATCTAAACCCGGAAAGAAAAAAACATTTCACCGACAAGTTTTTAGTATTTCTCAATTCTCCAAGAATAACAAGTTCTCCAAAAAAAAGAAAATGCTGCATGTTACATAAATATAAACTATCAGTAAAACTGGTATTTAAAGAGTCTTTTTTTGAGTTGAGAAGAGACTTAAATGAGAATTTTAAGAAAATTCTTCGAAGAGAAAAGGTAAAAACTTCCTATGAAATGCTGGATTTGCGTAGTAAGATATTATATCTCCTGTGTTTCCGGGCAGCCTCCGGTGAGAACAGCTCTGGTCTCTGCCAATCAGAGAGCCCCCTCGCCACCTCGTCCTCCAATCGGAGCTGCAGCCGGCAGGAGAGCCCCGCCCAGCTGGGGGTGTACCCCCTGCTGCTCATGGGTCAGCTGCTGCTGGGCATCGCCGCCGTCCCCATCCAGCCCTTCGGCATCTCCTTCATCGACGACCACGCCAGCAGGAAGAACTCGCCGCTCTACCTCGGTACTTTTTCACTCAGACTCCGGATCACGTGACGGAAAGTGGTAGTGCTTCCGTACGCCAGAGTCCCTTTAGAAGACCTCTCATTCTACAGCAGCAGGGTCCGACAGTCTGACCCTCTCAGTCCTGGTTCTCTCCTCTTCCTGTTTGTACTTTAGGCTCCGCCTCTTTTACCGCCCACCGTCGCATCGTTCTCTGGAACCAGTAAGAACCATTGTGAGGCTGAAACAATGACACCAGTGACTCTCAGACTTCCTCATGCATTAAACCTCTGAAGAAGATATTTGGTTTCATTTAGACACGAAAACATTAGAAGACTTTTAACAGTTTGGTCTTTTTATCGGTATCTTCTGCTGTTGTCTCTTTGTTTGCTGCTTCTCTTCTCTTCTTGCTCCCACATTTACCTCCATGTGTTCAGACGTCTGACACTCTGAGCTTTGAACATAGATGAGAACAAACGCAGTTGAAGAGATTTATAGAATTTATGGAATTCTTTCTAACAAACTGCAGAATAAAGAACAAAAAGCTGCTTTAAAGTCTGAGGAACAAGAAATGACTCAGAGCAGAGACGTGACGCGCTGAAGATCTTTCTTCAGATTATAGGAACAATAATACAACTAGAAGTCAAAGACCTGAGATCCACTTCTGATCTCAGATGATTTATCTATTTAATAAAACTTAAATCTGTCTGTTACCCCTCAGGGTATGTACAGGTAGTTTAACTAACACAACCTTTAGGATTCATTATTGGTAGTGTTTATTTATCTATTCATGTATTCTTTTTGTCTATTTCTGTTCTATACCAATTATTTCTATAATTATTACGATACATTTCTGTCAGTTTGGGAAGATTATTTATTTGTTTCCCTTTTTTATTTTATGATAAATGTTTTTTAATTTAATTTAATTGTTTTTTTAGCGTGTGCTAAGTTAAGACGGCGTTACACGTAGTTTCCATTCAGATGAAATATTCAAACATTTGTTTGAATACAAATGAATCTGTTTTAGATTCAACATTTCCAGCTGAAACGAAACTTCTGCTCTTGTGTTGTTCAGGTATCCTCCTCGCTGTGACCTCCATCGGCCCGGCCGTCGGCTTCATCACCGGCTCCCTCATGCTGCGCTTCTACGTCGACTTTGACAAGTTACCAGAAGGTGAGGAGACAAACTTAAAGTTCATTTATGACACGTCCTCTTTAACCAGGGGGGGGGGGGGGGGGGGGGGGGGGGGCGCCTGGGGCCGGCGGCGGGCGTG